CAGGAATGGTCACAATTTTTTGAATTGCAGAACTAAGCCGTTGCTTGTAATATGACCAATCAATAATGGATCGAATGCCAACATCTGATGAGATCTTGCACCACTTCCGTACATAAAACTTCATTATTTCTGAAAATACAAGAAAGTACAAGCACGAGCTTGACTTAGTATATAGCCGGATAATAATAATAATTAAAAAAAAAGATAAAAAAGAAATTGGTAAAAAGAAACTTTACCGGCCTCCGTTTCAAATATCGCAACAGGAACAGCACGCTCACTCACGGGTGTTCCCTATTCGAGTTAATATCAAAAGAAGATTGTGAGTTTCTTAATCAAATATAAACATCTAAATGCAAAAACAATCTTATAACATGCAAGTAGAAGAAATAAAATACAAAGGAAGAGAAGTAATTCAAATAAGAACGAGTTTTCATGGCAAACAACAATCTAAAATTGCCAGGGCATGTCAATTACAGACAAAAGGCATCAATAAAAGCTGTAAGTTGCAAAAAATAAAAAAGTAAAATATATCAAATAAATAAACATAGGTCTTGTTCGTTTCACCGATTCGAGTTTTTTATTCGAGTTGAGAAGTGACTTTATGTGAGAGAAAACATTGTAGCACAAAAAGTTGAATTTGAATTTTTGTTAGAGAAAATACTGTAGCAAAAACTTGAGTTGTAATTAGAATCGGTGAACTGAACGAGGCCATAACTATGCGATTGTAATCAACTTCCAACGGGTATAACTTTAGGGAATTCAGCAACTATTTCTAACATAAGCATCAAGTTAAGCATGACTGAATGGGCATGGCCACAACATGAATTTTTAAGCTGATAGTTGAACATTACGATGCCAGACTATATAGAAATGCATATCACATGGAAAAGGACCAACTTATCTCCAGCAAATAATTCAAGATTTTTCTCTTCTTTTTTACTAGAAAAGCATGGCTGAAAAAGAAAAAAAAAATGTGGTAATGATCAAGCTGATAGACTTTCTTGCACGACAAATAACATTTATGATGCGAGGTGATAACAAGAAAAGAAATAATTATATGCCTCATTTTTGCCATGCTGTAGTAAACAATTATCCTCCAGTTTGACCTTTCAATCTTCATAGAGCAAAAGAGACCAACAATACCAAAGGAACGACAAATAAAATCCATATCATCCAACAATAATTATTACAACAATATAAATGATAAGCTTCTGTGATACTAGGTCAGACGAATTATTTTGATGGTAACCTTTTTTATACAAAAGAGAGACTATCATCAAACAACTATGTTAAATAAATAAAATAAAATAAAAAATAAAAACATAAAAGACTTGAGGACAAGCAGGTAATTTAAAGGATTGATAGTGCCCATTTCTTCAACTGAACAGAGAGATCACCTTAGGTTCGCATGCAACTACATACTGACAGCGGAGCCCTTTATCTTTGACCATTGCATCACCAAGAAAATCAGCAAGGCGTTTTGCGGTTGTCACGGCACAAGACTTCAGTACACCATAGTCTGCTAAGGACTTGCTCATGGTGCTTGATTCTGATATATAATCAAGCAACTCACTATCTGCAATATCCCTTCCTTGATTCTGTGAAAGAAAGGAAAAGATTATATGCAGTGACCAAAGAAGAAACAACATAATGGCATCACAAACAAAGTCACATACATCAAGAAGATCGAGCCAGCAGTTGGCAACAGAAGCAACGGCTGAATAGCATTCCTCTAAGGTTGAGCCATGCAGGAACTTGTCAAAAAGCTCAGCCTGCAAATAAAATATATATATATATACTTCATATACAACAACAAAATGAAAGAAAAAATAAATGAGACTGTAAAATAAAATATAGATAATAAACATGAAGAAAAAGAAAACGTTTATTCCAAATTACATTTCGTATTTCTAGTTGATAGCTTCCTTTAGTTGTTTGCCACATATAGCAACTACATTTGCTGGTTTCATAGAAAAGGATAAGTAAGCTATTAAATGGATAGCCCTATTTGTGAGTTATTAGAATTTGGCTTCTTCTCTTTCTTTCTTTTTTAACAGAAACAAGCAAATTATATTTATGATTAAAAATTATGTACAGAAAAGATGACGAGTTATCCTCGGAGAATCATAGGAAGTAATCTAACTAACATAAAATAGAGCCCCAGTCCTGAACTGGTCAGAGAAAAGCAAACTATTGAAATCCTTTTTTCCATGAATCCATACTGCTAACCAAAACATGATCCTATCCCATACAATAACGCTCTCCTCATGCTCCTCAAAAGTTCTTCGATTTCTCTACAACCAAATCCCCCTTAAGGTTGCTAAAACCGCTAGTTTCTCCAAATGTTTTCTTCTCTGGCCGGGTCCAAACCGAAAATGAGTTCACAAAGTTCTCTATGACTCCTAGGGAGAACCCACAAAATCCCCATTTGGATTCTTTCAGAATCCAATTAGAGAAACTGTTACAATCAGGACTGCTAATAATAATAACTACGAGTTGTCTTTCTCAAATAGCAGTAATAAGCAACAAACAAATACTTCGCTAAACCAAGAATAATAGGAGAAGACTCATATGAGGTTTTGTTAGGACCCATTAATAACTGGGGATTATTTTAGTTAGTGGGCTGGTGGAGTTAGTAGGAATTAGTATAAATAAGAAGGGGTTTAGTAGTTCATGAAGGGATTATGTTTGGTCTGGGAATTTTTTGGTAATCATTTGGGGCTTGGGCAACCAAGATGAGGAGAGTTGGATAGTCTCCCAAACACTCAGTTAGGGTTTCTATTAGGATCCGTTAATGACTTAGGAACTGTTTGGTTAGTGGGCTGGTATAGTTAGTAGGAATTAGCATAAATAAAGGACTTGGTAGCTCACTAGGGTAGGCTGTGATTTTGAGAGTTTTGGAAGACTGAAATTAGGAAGAGCTGGTGGTCTCTCGAATACCATCAAAGTTAGGAGTTCTCCGGAGTCCTCAAATACTCCAGTCTATCCTAAGCTTTCTTTACGTTTATCTCAGTTTGGTTGTAAAATTCTATGAGCTAGTGTTGGTGATGATCAATAAAACTACTCTGATTGCCTTATATTCTTGTTCTTCTGTGTGAATATTGAGTTGTGAGAATCAGGTTCCTAATAATTTGGTATCAGAGCAATCGATTCTCAGAAAAATAAAAAATCAAAAAATCAAAAATAAAATCAAAAATAACTGTGGAAAAAAAAATATTACAAAAAAACAGATGAGAAGAGTGGAATCGTGGGGTTTCGAGAACCAGAGCCGTCGACCGCCGACCGTACAAAATGCGCCGGCGAGCGACGACAAAGGGAAGACAGCCAAATCCGGAATCGCGCAAGATTGACGAAGATTTAAGCCATTTGTCGTGATCTGGTGCTGAGACGTTCAGATTTGAGAAGAATGACGACCCTGGGTTGATGCGAACTGGTCTGTAAATCCAACGCCGGCGAACGACGCCAGAGATGCGACCTGAGATGGGCGATTCACGCCGGCGTGGGACACAGGTGGAGATGCAAACTGTTTGGAGCGATTTTTCGCGACCCGGAGCTAGCTCAACTAGATCTGAAGTGAACGGCAGCAAATTCACGACAGGATTGAGCGTAGATGGGGCTGGGTTTCGCGATCCCAGTGCGTTCGAAGGTGATTCCGGCCGGATTTGGACCAGGTGTCGCGATTCCGGTGTGTCTGAGGCTAATTCCGGCTGAATTCGGACTGGGTCACGCGAGTTCGGCCCGATTTGGGCGGATTTCGGCGAAATTAGGGTTGGGTCCCGAAATTCCAGTGGCCCTAGGTCTGGGTTTTGCGATTCTGATGTGATTGACACTGATTCCGGTGATGTTTGGGTTGGGCCTCGAACTTACAGCAAGATTGGAGCCAATTACAGCCATATATGGACTAGATCTTCAAGTTTTGGCTTGAATGGGGCTAGGTCTGGGCAATCTGAGTTGGGTGAGAGAGATTGGGTTTTACAATCTGATTTGAGAGAGCGAGTTGGGTCTTCTCGATTTGGAGTCAAAATCAATCCAAGGGTTTCGAGTAGGGAGAGGGAAAGGTGGCACGGCACCCCATGGGAGGGCCGAACGAATTAATGATTTCAGCGAATGGATATGCCATTTTTCACCGGAGATAAGGCTGGCAATCCGGGTAGCGACACGACTCGAAACCCGCACGAAATTAGCAGGTTTGGGTTTATCATAAATAGGTACAGGTCAAAATCAAGTCGAACCCGTGAAACACAATTAAATAACGTGTCATTTTCAAGTTGACCCGCCAACTCGTAATTGACCCGGCATAACCCGTTTATTAAACGTGTCATATTTGAGTAATACGAATACACAACCCGTTCATTACCCATTTTATAAACAGGTTAAAAAATATGTTCAGAAATAGGTTAACACGACCCATTTATCACATATTTTATAAACAGGTTCATAAATAGGTTAACACGACCCATTTATCACCCATTTTATAAACGGGTTGGCAAGTAATCAACGGGTTGACACGACACGTTTATGACCTGTTTAATAAACGGGTTATTCGTGTCGTGTCATGTCAACCCGTCAATATACAGGTCGTGTTTGGGTTTTGTATTTCGACACGATTAATAAACGGATCGTGTTCGTGTCAACTGAGGGGGTCAACACGACACAAACACGACCCGCCAACCCGAATTGCCACCCCTAACCGGAGAAGACCCTGATTGATGGGTTTTTAGAGCTGAACGATACTTTTTGTTCTATAGAATGACGAACAGTGAGAAAATCCAAACTACTGAAATGGCTATGAAAGGTGATGCTTTGGCTTGGTATCGATGGCATGATGCTCGTTGCCCGTTCTACAGTTGGAATGAATTGAAGACTCATCTGCTTAAGCATTTCAGATTGTCATCCGATGAGGCCTTACATGAGAGTTTCTTAGTGAAACGTCAAGAGGATATTATAACTGACTATAGACGACAATTCAAGGTACTTGCCAAACCTGGGAAAGAGATTTCAAATTTGGTTTTAGAGAGAGTTGTCATTACAAAATTGGAATTCGATAAAGAGCAAGTGGTAGGCAGTTCAAGCAGGTTGCTTCCAGCTCAAACAACATATGTTTCAGATCAAATGGATGTTCAAAGAGACTTAACTTGAAGAATTTTGAGGGCAAGGTGGACCAAGGCATTGAAATGAAGTTGATTTTCAATCTGGTGCTAGTAATGCGGGGCTTAAAGATATGGGAAACAAGATGTCAATGACATCAAAATTTTCCAAGGATGTTACTATAGAGTCGAAGTTTGCTGCACCAGTGAAAGAAGTTAACAATGGAGTCCATTCTTGTATTTTAAAAGATGAATTTGATTCTGTTTGCAGCAATTCTGGAGCAGTTGACAAAGGAATGGATAAATAGTGTACACTTGCAGCTGCCCTCCATTGTTGATGTTCTGACAAACAACAAGGCAACTTTCTCTGGCGTGGTGGAACATGCACTGCAGCAAGATAATGCTTTTGGGAGGAAGGTTTTTGTTATAAATGAAATGTTTGAGCTAACCAACAAGGTCTTCCATTGCTACAAGGATGATTTTGAGGCCGAGCTTCATGGTTGCGCTGCCTTTAAAGTGGTTCTCAATTTTAGCTCCAAACAAAAGTGTGAAGTTGAAAAAATAGAGTTAACAAGAACATTTGAAGCATGTTCTGTACGAATCATTTCGTTTGACGTTCCAAGATTCAAGCTCATCAAGATTGGAAGGAAGTGGAGTCACACGGCTGCGATTACTTAACACCTTGAGAACAAGGTGTTTCTTTGGGGCGGGGGTAATGTTAGGATCCGTTAATGACTTGGAAACTTGTTTGGTTAGTGGGCTGGTATAGTTAGTAGGAATTAGTATAAATAAAGGGCTTAGTAGCTCACTAGGGTAGGCTGTGATTTTGAGATTTTTGGAAGACTGAGATTAGAGAGAGCTGGTCATCCCTCGAATACCATCAAAGTTAGGAGTTCTCCGGAGTCTTCGAATACTCCAGTCTATCCTAAGCTTTCTTTACGTTTTTCTTAGTTTGGTTGTAAAATTCTATGAGCTAGTGTTGGTGACGATCAATAAAACTACTCTGATTGCCTTCTATTCTTGTTATTCTGTGTGAATATTGAGCTGTGAGAATCAGGTTCCTAACAGTTTCCTAATTGCTTGTATCAGCAATTTTCATCAATAGTAGTTCTCTTTCGGTCAAATTCTTCTTGTTTAGATCAGGTTCCTATCAGGTTTCCTGTACAACGAGAGACTATCATTTAACCTATCCAACCCATTAAATAAACACTACTGCGGAGTGAAAAAGATAAATTTCAGTTGATAACATGAATACGCACAAAGCAGTGGGAAGAGAAAGGGTGACCTGGAAAACTTTGATGAGCTTCAGCTCACCTCTACGCTTGATTTCAAAACCTTTAAGTTCAGCAAGGGTCCCGTCATCATTGAAAACTGCATATCGCTTCTTAATCAAGATTCCCTCTTCCTTTGACGCAGGAAGAATCATTGCCTGCAATAAAGCAATACTTAAGTAAGTTACAAAGCATAAGAATTATAACTCAATCCTTACAAATTACATGTCACCTTGTATGGACCATCCACTTCAAATTCAATTGAGCATTCACTATGAGTTGTATAAGTTTTTGTCACTGGATTTGTGAGCGTCTGGCAAGAACAGCAGAAAGAAGTTGGTACTAATTTTTGGCATACTGTTAAGCTCCTATTTTTCCATGCTAAGCATTTAAGAAAAACTGGATTGCAACATATCATGAAGTGGAAATATAAAATTAAATTTAAAGATGACCTGGTACTGATCATTTGTGTTGTTTCTTGCCACATCAACATTCAGCATAATACATGGATATGAGATAGTCAGCTTCTTCTTCATGTCCCTGAAATATTAGTTTCTCATACAGTAGTCAGCATCTTTTCATAAAAACAAAAAATACCAGCATAGCTTCAGTAGAAAACAGCCAACTGTAATCCATTATCCACCCAAGAACTTCATAAATTTGTGTTATGTAATTTATAATTCGTCTGCAGAAAAGAAAATAATTTTGGCTGCCGGTGGTGACTACGATATGCAAAATATCTTACGGATAGCTTCAAGATACATACCTAGTTTTGAAAGTAAAGTTCTCTGGAAAAGATCCAGGAAGTGCACACCAGATACCATCTGTGTCTAACTCAAGAGGCTTTCCAATCTTTTCAACCAGTAAGCGGGCATTCTGAATAATTTTTGCTCCAGTATATGTAACCACTCCAGCCATTTCCATTGAGTACCATCTTGCACCCCTGGAAAAACAAGGAAAATGTGGTAACAAGAAACTAATATATATGAGATTAACAAACCAACAAAAAGGTGAATAAAACTCACTTGCGCATGACATATCCATAGAAAGAATTGAGAATGCACTTGTGAGCGAGTTGTAATGAATCATAAAGGACTACCATATCCTGCAAATATCAGTAAGCACAAAATCAAAAGAAGAATAAGGGTGAGGTTGGTAGCAATCATGATCATGACTATCATGGTGATCATGAATACATGCTAAGTGTTCAGCAAGCTTAGGACAGATTTTCATACTTGTGCTTCCTGGATTTTTATAGAATTTCCAGTAGCTTTTGCTTCAGACAACTTCCCCTTCCAGACCTTATTAAGTCCTTTGTATTCATATCTTCTATCTCGAAAGCTTGAAATAAGATCAAAGAAAATACAACTTAGTACGAAAAGAAAAAGGGATAATTCCATAATAGAGGGAGCGTGTGTTTGAGAGAGATGTTACCCAACTAGCCACTAGCTAACCTCAAATTTAATGAATGCACTTAATAACAACAATTATGTTTAGGAATTTTCTTAGTTGAAATGCTATGTGCTTTATACAAGTGCAGTCCGGTTTGGGGGAAATTGGCAAAATTTTATGCAAGGAAACCCAAACTGCTCACCTGCGAACAGTATCAACATAGAATGAGTTTTCCCTCATGCAGATTCCTGCTTCTCGAACTTCAGTAACTGGTTTGTCGAGTACTCGTTTATATGCCTTTAAGATGCATGCAAAATTAGTTCCAGGCATCATTTTAAAAATTTGTAACAGTGAGAAGGGAAGGAATATACCTTTTGACAGTACTTCTTTAAACGATCTTTCAACCTCAATTGTTGATCTGTCTTAGGAAGGTCAAGAAAAGATTTTGCTAACTGGACATCAGTGCCATCAACAAACTCAGACTCAATTTGCTTTTTCAGATGGTAGTAGTCACTGTTGTCGTAATGACATTAAAACACAATCAGCAATTAGTTTATTGCTAACACATCCAAGTACAAGTACATGAACATTTGTTGAGGATGGGGGAGATGTGAAATTTGTTATCAGGAACAATACCTTTTCTTTGCCATGAAGATTTCTCCACGCCAAACCCATTCAAGCTTCCGAAGACAAGTTTTTCCTGGTCGATTGAAATCACAAGCAGTGCAAACCTCGTCTGTAACAATTGATGGTGGCTGAAATGGACAGATAATTAAAAGAAGTAATGATTCTCTCTCTCTTTTTCTTTCCTTTGATCTTTTAACAAGCACAGAATGTATTTGACCGTACTGACAAAAAAGACAGTTCGTAAAAGAGGCTAAGAAAAAAACAGCAGAAATATCTAGGATGTGTAAATGCAAATAAGCAAATAATTGAAAATTTCTTATAATTAGGCACATAAAATTCCCTGTTATATAATAGAAGCTTAAAATAATTGCAAAAGAAACATGACAACTGAAAGCCACGTGAGCTACATGAACTATTAATTAGCTTCTTCTGCAACTGAGCCAATAACCTTTAGAAAGAAGATGCAAATTCTACTGAAATAAAGCAGTAAAAGACATGCAGAACAATTCCTGTAGTCCAAACCATGTACCGAATAACAAAACAAAAGTGTCATATGGTAAATGTACAGTGCCCATTCAAGTTATATAGGATGGCTTACACCATACTTACAAATACGAGCTCATATAAAGCTATAATTTATGTAACCAGAAAAGCAAAGAGGTAGTTGCTAGTGATTAAAGTAATTTTTTCTAATAAGTAACTCAGGAAGTATTAAATTTAAATAGCTAGAATTATGCTTCTGGAGAGAAATTGGCACTTTAAGATGGAAAAGAGTTCAATATCAAATTTGGCATTCAAAATTAGCTCAAAGCAAATAATTAACCAGCATACCTGGAGCCTGTTTGTTAAAATAATGTTTGGATACATTGCAGCTACATCTAGATGATAAATAAGGGGGCATTCTACACGTATGGGTTCATCTCGCAACCTTGCAAGCTGCAAACTCAGGATGGATACATTAGAAAAGACTGAATTTGGAGGCAAAGAATGAAAAATATAGAAATTTAGGTTTCCGCCTAACACGTTCAGATTTTTAATCTTAGACAATAAAAGAAAAAATAAAAACAGTGATAATCAATATGTAAAAGATGAAAATTAAGCAATAGGAAGTGTTCTTGAAGGAGCTTAGTCTATTATTAGAAAATGAAAAGGAAGTTTGAACATAATACATAATCATTGAAACGCGGAAGATGTTATTAGACCTGTGTTCAGGGACTGAATTTAAAAACAATACTCCCCTGAATGTTAAAGCAAGCAATACCTTTTCAAAAATAACATTCTTCACTTCATCATAATTGGATACCGAATCCAAGTCTATCTTACCCTCTACTCTTATAGCATATTGCAGATCACGATCAAGGTTGTTAATCAATTGCTGGAATTTAAAAAAAAAAAATGTAATGTCAGATTGAATATATTCTCAAGATTAAATAACAAAGTATTGAAATTATGCCTATGAAGATTGAATCTGAACTTGAGTAGATTCATAGGGAAACACAAGCGACACACACACTAATCAGGATATGGTACAGGAGCAGTAGATCAAGCATCGCTTTTCACAGATATATTCATAAACCCAGATACAACATGACATATTGGGAATAATTTCTATAATTAAACCATTGTAAACTCCACTAATACCCACAGAAAAAGATTCCCTTGTATCTGCTTCAAAAGTGGCAAAAGTTAGTCAGAATTTCCAATTTCCCCATAAACTTCAACCTATTCCATTCTTCAAACTTAGAGTAATTTGAAAACATAATTATGATTTTCCATAATATGAACTCGAAACCTCTGGCACTAAGATTGAAATTTAGGCTTTCTCCATTCTGTTGCCCTTTTGTGCTGACAATTCTGACCAAAAATACTGGATTGACTCGTGTGACAAAAGGTCAATAACCTCGTTACTTTGAGAGGGACATTACAGAAATATTTTAAATTCCTCACTCATTCGTTTTATGTCATACACGAAAGAACAAATAGGATAACAATGTTTCACAAAATCCGCACGTCAACGTGGTTGTTTCAACATAAGCATCCCTTTCAATTTTCTTTTGTCAAAACAAAGACTGTTTAAAATACATCATAGAAATGCAGTTCATTTCCAAAAATTTCTTATAAATGACAAAGCTTACTGTACCATAGCATTGTTTGAAACTTTGAATGAAATAATAATGCGTAGCTTTTTGAATTTATATCTTTACCGAAAAACCTTGAGTAAATAAAAATCAGCTGAGGTCAAAACCATGAAAAGAAAGTCTGGTTCCAAAATTATGAAGTAATACTATAGATCTTAACAAAGAGAAAATGGATCAAAATGAAACTACGGTACTTCAGCCTCTATAAATTAGCTACATGGAATATTAATTCTAAGTAGTAAATTGATTGAAATATCTCTAGAGTCAATCAATTATCACATCAAATAGTACAAAACCAATTTCGCATTAGCCAAAAAGTCTTACTTAGCTAGGAACCACCTCTATGTTCCCTACAAAAATTATATTCAAACAAATTAGATGGTTCCTTTGAGCTACCTGAAGGCTACGAGCCTACAATCCAGCGACATAAGTTACATATCTGTCGGAAAACGACCAATTTTAAGTTTTTCAAATAGATTATCACACGAAATAGAAGAAATCTTCTACACGACTCATCAGTTTGACCTTTAAATGCTATAGACGAGAAAACGAAAACATAGACTGTCTCATAATTGGTCAGTGCCTAAACTTACATAGTGTACCAATATTCATGAAACAAACAGTTCAGGCCAAATCACGATAATCAAAATCATATGGCAGACCAATCAATGAATTTTTTCAACAGGTACTTAGTTGCGGAAGGTGGTGGATAACGACAACTTACCTCATAGGCAGATGGATCGAGCTTAAAACTGGTTGGAAGATCGGATCTAAAAACTCCACTTTCAAGGCATTCCACATGACCACCAATGTATGTCTCACTTTCAAGAAGATGGTTATTATAAAACTTCTCTGGGTCAGACTGGTGTTTGTTAGGGCAAATAACATTTGCCTTGTATGCCTGAACAAAAGCAAAGTTATTTACATAATATATATATATATAGACACACACACACACAGAGAATAGTTAAAATACAGACATATGTTTATGAAGGAAAGAAATATGAAGGGTACAATGCAAGGGAAGCATATAGGTCTACAGTCTACTGTTTTGGTATATGAGTGGGGAAAAAACCCACCTGAACCATCAGAAGCATTTCACAAAGGGTCCCACTACCCTTCCGCAAGACTTCATCTGGTGACATTGGAATAATAGTTGCAAGAGAGAAAATAAAGGGATGAACATAGGTCATATACAAGAAATAAGTTGCTACAGCATCAGAAACAGAATAGGAGGCCATCATCTGTAACAAGTAATCAAGAAAATAAAAGCATAAACATATTAGAATTGTTTCCTTAAGAAGTTAATTACAAAAGCAAACACAAACCCAACTATATAGGAAAAGGAAAAAAAAAAAAACGATAGGAAAAAAAAAAAAAAAAAAAAACCCAACATATAGTCTATGACAACAGGGTGTAATCAGCCAAATTTTAATCAATCTAACAGTTGTAGAAAAGGAATCTCAGCACAACTGTTTATCAAGTTGCTCCCTTGACAACTTGATACCATCATACAAAGTACAATCAATGGAACAATTATAAAAGAGAGAGAGAGAGAGAGAGAGTTGTTCCCCTGATACCATCATGTTGGCGTTTAGGCAGGGAACTAAAGATGGAAGTAGTTCAACATGCCCATCTTCATACCTAGCCAATTGATTTAAATAAGAGGCTAGTGTAATGGGGTTTCTCACATTTGTAGGCTCATAGTCACATCTCACAATTTTGAGAAGAAAAAACAAAGAAAAATCATAGTCATTGATAAACTTCTTATCTCATAAGAATACATGCAAAGCAACCATTACCCATCACAAGGAATCAGCAAAAGGACACGCACAAACATTAGGCAATTCAGAAGCACACAGTTTCTTTCCATTTGAGAAAAGAAACATAAAAAAATCTGTTCAAGATAAAAAAGAACATACAAGAAGAATTTTGAAGGATTAGGTACCTCCGGCAAAGATATAAAGAACAATGGGGTGAAAAAGCGTATTAGAAGACATTCTTCTAATCTAAAATAAGCAAGGGATGCCGGATAAATATGAGTCTTTCAAGGCATAAACCCATAATGAAGCTAAAAGAATGAATTTAACCCTCAGACATTGTTCTAGCCAAATCACCCAGAAAACTGCTAAAACAGCCTTTTACTTGATCCTATTGCACAAGCTTTTTTATGAGGAAGAAACATTCATTTTTGAATTTGCCTTCAGTAGCTGAGACTACAAAAGATTAGCAAAGCAGCAATGCTGAAAAACATCGTGTGATTAAACTGAGAATGAAAAATGTTCCATTAAATTGTACCTGCGGCTTTTCCATTGCAAAACGAACCATATCCTCAGGATTCACTTCCAGGGGATGGTAACCCAACTTCGCTTTTGTGACGGCCTGAATAAGACCAAAAATCTTTTCTAAGAAAAAACAAGCATGAATTTCTTATGAAGCAACTGCCCTTAAAAAGGATCTATAATAAATTGTTTAATTTAGAGAAACTTTACTCTGAAGCATTTTGACTTAACGGCAGATAGATTTTAGTACAAACATGACAAACATTCCCATGTTAGCAAATAAAAGCAACAGTATTAATAGCAAACAAAGCACTTATATGAATACTTCCTGAACATATGCGTCATTTGTTAAAGAAAAAGGCCCTTATCAGTAACTCTAATGCATCTAAGATTTACCAGCAACACTTTCTTGCAAAGAAATAATACCAATTACCAAATACTGTGAAAGTATATCATTTCATTTCATCTATTTTGAAACAGTAATTGGACCACTAGAAAGAAAATATTCAAGCTATATTAGAACTAGCACCTTGAGGCCATGGCTTCCCTGAGGAAGATAACTATCACGCTTGACCCAAGCAAAGCAATCAAGATGGCAGGCAAATTTAGCACGATATTCCCCTTGATTCTTGTCACATTGAAATCCAACCTCCTAAAATCTCACCAGAGAAAAGGCAAAGGTACAGAAATATTCAAAACATATAGGACATGCTTGAAGCTGAGAATTCTCACCAAGAACTAATACAAAATATCGCTGATCATACAACTTAAAAACAAGATTATCTGAAACTGAGAAATTTTCTTTATAAGAAACAAACATTCGATTGAGATAATAAAAATACATAGAAGAACAAAAAGATGTCCTTATAAAGTAAAAGATAGAAAATTTTATTGTAGGCCTTTCCATTCAACAAAATCATAAGCAAAGGAATGTCCCTAAACCCATTAGTGGAAATCATTCACAAGGATGCCTTGCATTTAATTCTACCCAAACAAAATATTTGTCCTCTGAAATTTATTAAAATATCCTTAAGTTTACTAAGCTGTACAACTTCCAGGTACGTAGTTTTGCTGTAGGTGACTTAAGATAGAAGGCTACAAATGAGAAACCATGGCAAAATTTATATCAATAGCCAAGGGTATTAAGAGATATAGCATATTTGTCTTAAGGAACACAAGCAAAGAATAACATATAGAAAAATGAATACTCATATACGCAACTTGTGCCGGCCAAAAGGGATGAGAACATTAAAATTGTTGTCTACTACTACGTATAAAACAAGCTAAAAGTCCAAGCTCATGAGTATGATGTGGTTCGAGTAAAAGCGTAGGAGTTATGTACATCACAAAGTTTTAACCCATGATGGGCTGCTCTTCTTTCCAGGAAAGGCCAGTCAAAAAAATCACCATTATACGTTACGTATATACCAGGTTTCACCTCCCGCATATGAGCAAACCACTTTTTAAGAAGCTCTAGCTGCAAGATGAAAAATAATTTGGATGAGTATAGATGTGAACATCATTTAAAACCACTTAAGCAACTAATTGACAGATAGATATAATGATTTAGTTTCATAAGAACCCATACCTCATTTTTTACATTTGTCACCGTGAAACACCCTTCAAATTCTGGTTTCGGAGTATATTCCAAATCCTCTATATCATCACCAACACACTGCAAAGAGACAATGCAGGTAGCCAAGTTAGTGAAGGACACAAGAATAAAAATACATGCATGAAAGAAATTGTAGCCTGTGCAGAGAGAAAATGACTATCTACAAGCCTGTGCAGAGAGAAAATGACTATCTACAAGCCTCGACAATAAAGAAATTGTAATCCATCAGGAAATGATCCTAAAATATCAAGTGGGTTGAATTCTATGAAGAAGCATTGCAACAACCAAAGAAAAAGAAATAACAATCTTTGTTGGTTAAAATATGGGAACCACATATGAAATTAACCAAACTACTAAGATTTGTGACAACTATAGTAAATGTAAAGAAAGAAAGGCATTTAGTGTTATATATTTCAGTGAAAACACTCAAATACAGATTACCAAACGGGATTCAATTTTTTCCTCAAGAGTATGGAGTTTGAAAGTCGGTCTAAACATTTTTCTGCAACTACCAACTCAATTGTTTCTTTTCTTTTGGTTCTTTTTTTTCAAACTTAGAACAGAGACAGTAGAGTCTCAGTAGCATAAGAAATGAACTTCTACTGAAAGAAAGGAAAAAAAAAAAGAACAGTATGTCAATATCAACACGAGAGAACAAGCAATCCTCTAGCACTGAGTAACGCAAATACAGAAACTATAAATATATTCCCCAATTCCTAATTATCACAGAAACAGGGTATCCAACTACCAGATGAATCCAATTATATGCTTATTTAAGACATTATATATCCATAAATCTGGACATATGGAGGAATCTAAAATTGTTAACCTTGAACAACCAAAGAAATTACTTTTCTTAACTCTATCGCAAGTACCTCTCTGTTAATGATCAGATACCCTTGTCCATCAATCATGTATGAAATCATCATAATTAGATCATACTCAGCATCTGGAAATTTCAAAGGAAGCTTTGTGGTCTCAATATCAAATGCACAAACATGGACTTCAGCACGCTGCAGAAGATCTGTCCTCCTCTCAAGCATGACATCATTACTGGATATACTAACATCATACCACTGGCCACAGCGTATATCTAAGAAGCATGAATAGCACAGGAGATAAGCAACGTTATTTTGACTTAGGAAGCCAGATAAACAAATCAAGTCTCAAAAGCAACAGTATGAACTTGCCATTGTCAATAGCAAAGCGAACATGATAAGGAACATCGTATTCTCGGAGGTCAACAATACAGTCTAGAAAATCTTGGGACTTTTGTTCTCTGCAAATCGCACACCAAAACAATACCAGAAAATATAAAGGCATGCCCTTTCATAAAGGACACACAAATGATTATCTTTTCGGTAAACAATGATTTCTATGAGTTTCAGGCACAAGAAGGGAACTGCGACCCTTAATTGCATTCAAGATAAGACCCCAAATGAAAGCTCACCTTTTTCCCATTAGTATTAACTCGTAAGCCTCTGTAGCATCAGATTTTGACTGATTCCTTTCAACAACATGCAGTAGATCACTCTTCACACTCATTAATTGTTGAACAGTGTCGAATGATAGTTTTAGATAGGACTTGCGTAAACCAGACAAATGGTTTTTCTGTCAAGAAACATACAGGGATATTAGAATGAATGCAATGGTAAAATTATACAATTGAAAAATTAAATATGTTCAAAACAAACTAGTTAGATTAGTTCAACCAGATCGTCAGAAGTTCTCCTATTCCTTTCTAACCAACTTAACAATGATTCAAAATCAAGCAGAAACAGTAATTATATGACCATCAATGAAAAAGTTGCTTACAAGATCAAGATCTTCTTTCTCCACGATTTCAATATTGGCAATTTGACTTTCATAACGCCGTCTCAAATATGCTTCAACATCTATTTCCATTTTGTCCTAAAACAATATGAATTATGGAATTTAACGTGACAATCACCTGAGCAATAATACAAACAGTACTAACAAAAACAAAATGCATAAACTAGTAGATAAATAGCAAAATATCCTAGCATTCATATTTCCATTTGGGCCCTCTGTAAAAACAGAAATTAGAGAACTTAACATCAGCATCAACAACAATTTATGGTTAGACTACAAACAAACAACAAAATGTAATAGATATGGGGGTAGACACCTTTGTGGCTGCGTAAAAATATGGACGGAACTTGTATTTAGATTTGAAACAGGAACCATCCTGCAAGAAATGTAGAAAATATTCAAGTACTTTCCAAAGAAATTGGCCACCAGAAAGCCTTTGAAACAATATCACTGTTTGCTAAACTTATTGTTTCCATAATGGTTTTTGGAATAAAACATTTCACCTGTGAAACAAAATACAGATCCACACAACTAGAGACTTTGTTGGTTTCTTGATCTTCCAAAGATGACTGCAAAATAACAAGGAACCATCACTCTACATGAAACAGAAACTATGGGACTTCTATTGATATTTAAAATTTATGTACAAAAAAAAGAGGAAGAGATTTCCTCAAATGACACAAATACTAATACCAAAAGTTTACATATTTCTAAAAAAATTTATCGCTAAGAGATTACTTTTAAGCGTTACCAAAACTTTAGATAGCATGTAACTTTTAGGGAGTGTTCTTTTCACAACTCAAGTTATAACTTAAATTTTTTTATGTGACAAAAAACACTATAGAAAAAAAAATTGAATTTGAATTTCTGTGAGATAAGACACTGTAGCAAAAGAATTTGAATTGTGAGAAGAATAACGCCTTAAATACTAGAACCAAAGTAATGATAGCACGTTAGAAAACACAAAGTAGTGGATTAATGCTAGACAAAAGCAATAATATAATTTCATGGTGGTTTTTTAACTTCATTATAAAGTTTAGAGTGAATCGTCTCAGTTACTTCAGTCAACGCTACATCTAAATACCACAATAAACTAGTACGGAACACAAACTAAAAAGTCGTTTTATACCAATTATGCATACAAGCACAATTGAGCATTTAACAGTCATTTGGTGATAAACCAAGAAACGTAGAGGCTAACTATGGATCTTCTAAACCGATGGCAGATTTGATGATTAAGCTAAAATATGGTAATGGAGATATTGACAGTTGAATAAAAAAACACTAACTAATATCAAGAAACACTAAAATGTAATTGAAAACCAAAAACCATATATTTATGTCATTACTTCATATACAAGCATAAATTACTAACAAACGCTCCATTTGCCACCAAAACAACCGCAAAAACCTAGAATTCAAAATCAAAGTTCTTTTTTTTTTCCTTCGACTTTCTCATTTGACCAAACAGGCCGAAATTGAACAGCAAAATCGACTTACAGACGCAAAAGTGAGCAACCATCCGAGCCTCTTTTCTCCTTCAGAGAAGAGATCGAACCCTAGTTTGGCCTCGAGCTCTTCCTCGGCGGTGCGAATCAGCTTATGCTTCTTGGAGCTCCGATTGTACCTGAAATCGCGTCTTCGGCCCTCGCCGTTCATCGTTTTCTGCTCCGCCGAGGGAAAATTCGGCGAGAAATTTCAGATTGAAAACTGGGAAAAGGAAAAGCTTGAAGAGAAAATTAGAAAGGAAAAAGTAGAGAGAAATGGGTTTGGAAAACCCTTGTGTGATACGATGAGAGTGGTGTAGCGGGGGAAAGAGGGCTAAGGAGTGTTTTCCCGCGCTTGGGACTGCTTATTTTATTCTTCCCCAGATACGGAAATGCCCCTTCAGTTGTCGAAAACTCGATTAGTGCCCTTCTATGGCTATACCCTGCAACGGCGTCGTAATCCTTGTGCATGGATGAAAATATTGGTAGTTTTGACTTTGGGAAATCCTTATCCTTAGTATAAGCTTGAGTATAAACTTTCTATTCAGTAAAAAAGTATGAAAGTAACCGTAAGTTTCTATTTCGAACGTTTAGTTCATAAATTTAAAATTATGATTTAGAATTATTATCGATTTATATGTATTTTTTATGAAAAAAATATTATAACGAATCACGAAACATGATACGAAACCACCAACTAAACGCATTATAAATTTTTTGTTAAATGATAAATCTATTAAAATAATAGAAATTGAAATTTGTTAATAACTCATTGATAAGTGAACACGGTGTTTTGGCCATAAATATAGTTTAAAAAAACTTAAGATCTCTAATATTGTCCCTAAATTATAAATTCTTTTGATTTTTTTATTTCTAAAGCGTAAAAGGGAGTTTTTTAGTGTTGTTTGCTTTTTCAGTCATTAAATCTGATTAAAATAATACTAGATTAAAAAAATATGCTGAACATATATATTCTGATACAGAGTTAATGATTGAAAAAGATACCATCACTAGCCGAGAGCTCAAAAAACCATCAACAACGAGAGACCCTAGCACTGTCTAGCGTCTTTCCACCTCTTGCGTACTTTTAGCTTTTAGTGCTACAGGTACTCATCACTTATGGTCATGAAGATCGTAGCAAGAATCTTAGGCTTAAACCTTTCTGATGTGCAGGGTCCTCTATCAGAGGCAAGCACAGAGCATTAGGGAAAGAAGGGATTATGATATAAAAAGAGGAGTTCAGAATTTCAGAGGAGAAGGAAAGCTGTTTAGAAACTCATATTTATTGAGCAAACTTGTGTATACAAAGTTCTCTTGGTTGGAGGACTTCTACCTTCTCAAGAGAATGGCCTCGCCTTATATAGCTGAGGCAGCACACAAAGGACTTTGATCTTATCTAGTAGGATAAGATTTACACTATTAACTTTTTGACTTATGTTACAAGAAAACAAATGACTTTAGGTAAAGCGGATTTCTTACTATTTCACCTGTGACTAATTAAACAAAGATAAGGCCACTTTCAATGGAGTGGCAGACAAGCTACTATTCTACTTTTGACTTAGTCGGAAGAGGACAAGCTTCTGTACATAGTGGACAGCTGAGAGGGTCTAGTCATTGCAGAGGGAGGTGTAATCTGACGAGGATGAGCTTGTGTTCGTTGAACCTCGCTCGTATAGCTTATCATATGGGTACCACACTTTATGTCTTTTAGTGGAAGGTGGTATGTATTCGATGAGGCCATCTGAAAGGTAGTTTGGGTCTTGTGAGTCTTGGAACAGTGCCGAACTATAGTCAGGCTGACCTTGTGAGTCTTGTTGTGATGATGGAGGAACAGAGGCGGATGCTGGTGCGATTGTTGGTGTGTCTTGCTCAAAATAGCGAATGTTGCTGACAGTGTTGTATGGTCCATAGACTTGAGTGGGTGGAGATATCGCAGAACTAGTGGATGGTTGTAGAGGAGGATCGGGCTTGTGTCCGTTTTCTCTACACAGTGCTTTAAAGAGGTAATCAGTGCTTTTGTTGAGGTCTTGAGGATAGGTGAAGTTGGTTTGCAAAGGGTATACCTCATATTGAGTGTATAGTCCTTAGGTTTCTGAGTTGAGCAGGTATGGGCAGTGTATGAGGAATATGGTGTGCACCTGATGAACATATGATGGGGAGAAAGTCCATATGTTGTATTTCTGAAAAAGTCTTGAGACTTCTTTTCTCCACCATGGAAGGGGATTGAACATCTCTAAGAGTTGCCATAGAGATGAATTCTCATTCCTGGAATTATTGATATGTTCATAAAGGTGCATGAGCGGGCAGTTAAACGCGATCTTGTAGAGAGCTGTTTGGCACCAGAGGTACCAGATGTCATCTTTGGTGATCTCGCTTAATGGTTGAAGGTGGTAGATGGAAAGGTATGGCTGATCTGGGTTATACAGATCTTGAGTATGAAGATTTCTGGTTTTCATGGAGATTCTGGTTAGGTAATAGAACAGGTGGGTTCTTGCATAGCTTTTGATCTGATGTGGTAAGGTTGTATTATCTAGTCCGGGAGGAAAGCTATGATCTGGTCTTACCGGGAAACACAGAAGTGATGTGGTGAGGCTGTGCACGCGCTGGGGCACGCCCTGGCCGTGCCCTGTTGCGCGCTGGGGCGCGCCCTGGCCTTCTTTCTGGGCGATTTTTGGAAAAATTTCTAGGCAGACTTGGGGCTGTTTCTGGGCATCTTCAAACCTTCAAACTTGATCTTCCATGCCTCTTTTTGATTCAAAATCAAGACCCTAATTCTACCCAAAACCTAGAATTACAATAATTCTAATCCCGAATTAAATTACAAATAATTTAATTTGAAAGAATTTAATGCGATCCATGGAACCATGTAATTAATGACCAAATCCATCGTCCATACATTCATCATCATGAATCAAATATAAACATCCATAAATGCAAGTGCCTACCCATCACATACATACATAATTAACTTTTTGATTATCAAATAATGAGAGCATAAAAATATAAACATCCATAAATGCAAGTGCCTACCCATCACATACATACATAATTAATTTTTGATTATCAAATAATCGGAGCATAAATTAACATCGTCTACAGACCTCTCTGATACCAATTGTTGGTCTCCGAATCGAATTCGGATGCGGAAGCGTGGTGCGGGGAAGAGGCGGATCGTGTATAACAAAAATTTTCATAAAACTTTTGAGATACTCTATAGATTATATTAATTTATGCACGAATAAATTAATCTCATTAATTTATATATATCAAGAACTCAATCAAGAAAAATACTTGGAAGCCGACTCGGATGATAACTTGAGTTCTTTGACCACGAACAGTCCTTGCTCCAATCTTTGTGTTTAGAAAACCAATGTCTTCCACGTCAATTCTTAGAATCCACGAAGACGTGTGTGTGGGCACACATGAGACAAAACGGGTTACAATAAACACTCGAATTTTCACAAGCACCAACACATGCACGATGTGAAATTTTTGGAGAAAAATGTTTCCTTCACTCTATAAAGAAATTTCGGCCACCTCTAAAATTAGGGAAAAAATTCATTCCGAAAATTGTCTACCATTCTCTTATTTATAGAGTAGAAGTCAAACTTCTAGAAAGAATCCAATCTCTAACTCTGAGATAAAGCTTGTTAATTATCTCCTATTTGAATTTTAAACAAAATCT